CACACACACACACACACACACACACACACACACACACACACACACACACACACACACACACATACACGTTTGTGTTCTGTTGAACATTTCGAATGAGTGTTACTATATTCCTATGTGGCTTGTTCTATATTATCTTTTTTATATTTCGTTGTTTCCCAGTAGATTTAACGCAGATACATTAATTTATTAAGTTCATATATTTTTATAATTTTTTGAATTTACACATTTAAAAAAAATATATACGCAATTTAGAAAAATATAAATTTTGCATACATATGTACATATGCATTGTGTGCAAGAAAGAATGAAGAAACAAGGAAGAAAGAAGGAGAGTGAATGAAAAAGCAAGAAAGAAAGTGAGAGAAAAACAAAGAAAGTGAGAGAGAGAGAGAGAGAGAGAGAGAGAGAGAGAGAGAGAGAGAGAGAGTGTGTGTGTGAAAAAGTAAAAAGGAAAACAGAAAGAAAAAAGTAAAAGGAAAGAAGAGAGATAGAAAGGGGGCATATGTACATGAGTATGTGATTCATACATGTATAAGTAACTTTTCTCATTGATATCGAGAATTTGAAATATCTTTGCTATTCTAAATAATAAGAAAAAATTGAAACTACTTTGTTCTATGGTTTTGTGAATGACACATCATACAGAGTGACAAAAAAATCTGAAACCGATAAAATATTTTAAAGGGATTTTTTGTTAATCTGTATAGTGGCACAATATTTCGTTATATATGGAAATATGAAGGAGATGAAGATTAGCAATTCGATTTTTGTAAATCAAATATGATTTTTCTAAAATAAAAATAAAATAATAATAAAAATTTCTAAATAATATAAACTAAAAATATATAAAATGACAGAGTATCAAAGAACTTGTCACAGAACTTGTGTACAATAATTTATATATTCAGTCGATAATTACATTGAGTTATTATTCAAATCTAATTTCATAAATTCGAACTCTTTACATGTTTCGGCTACTTGTTCTCTCTTCAGAAAAAGCAATAAGTTTAATACAAATAAAACTTCATCTTCTCAAGGTAATTTTTCTGATTATCTTGTATAAAATTGTTAACATAAAATTAAAAAATCAATAACTTATAAAATATCTAATGTTTTAATGTGCCATACTGGCATAAAATATATCTCGAAAAAAATTAATTTTTTAAATAATCTCACCTCTATATTTTTATATTAAGCCTACAGCATACAACACTTTTTCCTATTGGATTGCTTGCGTTTTGATAAATTAGTAGAAATTCTGCATTCTGTGTGGTGCAATTCTAATAATTTACTAAAACACAAGCAATTCATAGTAGGAAAACGTATATTGCAGGCTTTACTTTTATATGGGAAATAATTAGAAGATTTATGTAAGAAAAATCATATTTTAATTTTATTTAAAAAAAAGAAATGTTCTCAAAATGTTTCATGTTCCTGCATAATGAAAGCATTACTTCTATATTACGTGTTTTTTGAATTTGTTAAATCTTGTAACTTGTGTGCGAATTTTTTTTGAATTTTTTCTGAATTTTTTCTATTACTTAGAATAGCAAAGATATTACATTCAAAGTACTCGAGAGTTAGGTGAGATATTTTGAAATAAATGAAAACACGTATATACGTAATTTTATTATACACATACACACATACGTAGGAACAATCCACATATTATATGTTTTATATGTATATGTCCCTGACCATTTATTCGTGTTTAAATACGCAATTACATCCACTGATCCTATTTAATAACACTGAAAAATATATATTAATGATGTCCTATGGATGAGTTTCTTTTCCAGCTCTCCTCTTTGCTCAGAGGGCAAAATTGGGAGTGGAGAACCTTTCTGAAAATCATGATGATTGTGTGGTCTAATTGGTTAGGGGTATATTTATCTAATTGGTTGATTCTCATTGGACAGTGACAATTTTTGTAACAAAATTCTGAAAATTGGTAGGCTTAAAATTTGTTTACAGGAGTACATGAAAGGCCGGTTTGCTATATTGTGAAGACTCGAGCGACAAAGCGCATGCCACTTTCTCGCTTTCGTAAACTTACATCATTGTTAATAATTAATATTCGTATTAAATTGCATATTTAGAAAATTTTTTCCCAAATTCCGTCATATCTGCCGTAATTATCTTAACTTAAAAACCATGAAACCGCCTCATTGGAACAAAATTAGGCATGTGTCTGTTTTCTGCATCCCACAGCTCGATAATCACGAAATAAAACCCGGCAAGAGTCTGAAAGTAAACATTAGCGTTCCTAATCTACGTCTTTTCGTGGGGAACATACCAAAGTCAAAAGGCAAAGAGGAGATCTTGGAGGAATTTGGTAAATTAACAGGTAAAGTGAATTCGAGGCGTGTGTACCTACCTACCTACCTATTACCTACCTGTCTACCTGTATTGTATAATTTAAGAGTGCTAGCTTTTAAGTAGTGGTTGTAGATGGTATGGAACTATGGAGCATCCAAGGATCACATTGATTTTATGATCTACGAATATACCTTATGGCACCTTTAGTTCTGGTCAGTCTCCTTGCCTCTCGGTTTATTAGTGAACAGTAACACCTCTCTGGTCCAAGTCTTCTTTTCCTTGCATATTTAGGTTGACTTATAAGTTTATCTGCTTCCTATTCTATACATGCAAATACCTTATTATCCTCTTGAGTTCCCTGTCCTCGAATTTATGCAACTGATCAATTCATCAATCTTTATTACTGATATCTTCTTCGTCTTCTTTTTTTGGAACGGTAAAAAAGAAGCGAGATAATGGAAAGAGAAAATGTGGAAGCCGTATGATACTTTTAGATTAAGAATTATTTTACATACTGTGACAAAAATATACGCTGTCTTGCACCATTGCAATTTTGCAATATGCAAATGTAATTCATCACTAAGTCTTAAGCTTTGGGGGTATGGGAGATTTGCGTGGACCGCTGGGGCGTTTGGCTCGCTAACAAACGGACAGGCACTCCCACCCACCCTGTATAATATTGATCCTCTCAAACTATCGAAATGTCCCTTTGAATAATGGTCCTATATTTATATAAATGAAATTCATCCCCCCACTCCCCACAATCAACCCTCTTTCCTCAAGGACATTTCATGAAATCCTACGTTCAGACAGCCAATAAGCAGGTGAAATCATAAATGGCAAGCTTAATTGGCACTCTCCTTCCACATTATTCTTACAGCTGAATGATTATGAGATTCGGAAAGGGAAAAAGATTGGTGTTACCGTATCTTATAACAATCACCGCTTGTTTGTGGGAAATATTCCAAAGAATCGAGACCGAGATGACTTGTTCGAAGAGTTTACAAAGCACGCACGTAAGTTGACAATTGTCCTTAAATCAGCAAGCAGTAACCAAATGGAAGTTCTCTGAGAGATAATGGGACAAAAAATTTATCATCTTGTAACAAATCAGGTGTTTTTCTCTAGTCAGTAGCAGAGGTGCCAGGTGGGTTAAATCCAGCCCTCTTGCATAAATGTGAAATAAAAATTTTGTTGTGAATTGGTATTGGAGAAACGAAATTTTCATTATTCATTTTCGAAAATATTATTGATGTTTGGTAACGCTGACCAATTTATTTATAAGCCAAATGTGAACTCTTCTTATCATATAATTCCTTTCATTTCTAACTTTTCGTTTGCAAAACGTGCATAGTTGCAATGAGTAGACATTCGTAATTGTGTCCTACAACCAATTGAGTTTATTTTATTTGAAATATACATACACACATATACGCGCGTGCACGACTGTCCATTTTATCCATTAATCCATTCATCCATTCACCCATCCATTCATCCATTCACCCATCCATTCATCCATCCATCCGTTCAGTCATTCATCCATCCATCCGTTCAGTCATTCATCCATTCATCCATCCATCCATCTATCCACTCATTCATTCATCCATCCATTCATCCATCCATCCATCCGTTCAGTCATTCATCCATTCATCCATCCATCTATCCACTCATCCATTCATCCATCCATCCATCCATCCATCCATCCATCCATTCATTCATCTATCCATCCATCCATCCATCCATCCATCCATCCATCCATTCATCCATCCACATACATTTATATGCTCATTTAATTTTTTTCCTCCACACAAGCGCGCGCGCGCACACACACACACACACACACACACACACACACACACACACACAATCATAAAAACGCGCGCGTGCGTAGGCAGACAAGAGAGAAGGACAGAATGAAAAGGAGGGGAAGAAAGGGAGGGAGGGGGGGGAAGAAAGAAAAGAAGGAAGGAAAGAAAAGGGAAAGACAGAAAAAGTATATGAGTTTTTATATTTTATATTTTATAATTTTGATTGATGACAAATTATTACGAGTATTTGGTTTTGGGACACAAAATTCAAAGTTGGAATGCAAATTTTATAATATCGTTTATTGATATTTTTATTTACATATAATTAAGACATGATAACAGTTTTATTTTCTTTATGTTTTGAAATGAAAAATATATATTTCTTTTGTACACAAAATTAAACATATTCATAAAATAGAGACACAATCGTATTTCATGAATGAATAATTGTGTGTTTATTGTGATATCTTTAATTTCAGACGTTAAATTTAATATGAAAGGTATATTATTTTTGTATAGTATAAATGTAAATATGGCAAAAGAGAATGATCAGTGTGATCGAATGAATGTGTTTGTGATTCATCACTATATTTCGTATGTATGTGCATAAGATTCTTGCATGTAACATTAATATGGACACAGAGAGGAGATCAATGTATAAAAGTGATGATAAAGGCAAACGCCTTAAATAATTAAATTTACATAGAAATGATCGAAAAATTAATTTTAGGAGAACAGTCAATACGATCGATATAATGATACAAGGCATCTAACAACAATTTGCATTTGATTTCCGCATGTCTTATATAATGTAACTGACAGACAAGAAATTAAGAGAATTGATATATTTACTATGAATAATGAATAAGTTAGTATAAGTGAATTATATTTTATGCATATTAGTCAATAAAATTAGTATTATAAAAATTACTCTATTATGATAAAATTTTGGATTTAATACATACAAAATCGATGATTTACTGTTTTATTATTAAAAATTAAAATTTATTATTTTAAAAATACATACAAAATGCCTTGTTATCCAGAGGTAGTATAACTTCTAAACTGAGAGGAAGGAGAGAAAGACTATCTCTGAAAATAAAAGTTCAGAGGAATGATGTCAGATTAATTAAGTTGCCTAGTGATAATTACTAAATTGCTTCTTGTTTGGCAATCTTTTAGTATTTTTACTGCTATTTCCAGAAAAGCTCTGTCAAATTAGATCGGAGTGAAATCAAATCGGGAAATACGAATGATATTCTTACATCTTAAGATTAGAAGACACTGAGAGAGGAAGGATATAATTATATACATATAATATTAAAATGTCGATTTCTTTATGTAATTGAATAATTATAATGCATGGGAATTCTAATAGCATGAAAATTATTCTTCTTAATAATATTTATATGCTTTTGAATTAAATAATCCTCTCAAATTCTTCAAAAATATACAGATTTAGTAAAGAAATGCTAAAAAACATATGTATATGTATTAATATACATATAACTATTCTGATAAAGAGTGTTTTACAGAATTTGGAGCTTGCAGTCTCTCTCTTTGTAGTTATTAATAGTGTCTATTTTTTCTGTTCTTTTAATCCTGATTTTCTGTAGTTTTTTATTTAAAATTTTATTATGACATAGATTGTGAGCATTTGGTGAAGTAATTGTTTCTTTTATTTCTTTTATTTTTAATCCTCGAATTTTTTTTTTGTCAAAGAAATTTTACTTGATAAATTCATTTTTGAAGCTTGTTTTTCTTTTTTTATTGAATGTTACGTGTGTTTGTTCTCAAACGTGCAAATAAATAAAATTTATAATTTATGAAATAGGAACATTAACAATGTCTAGAAAAGATTTAACAAACAATATAATGTAACTTTTTGTTATATAAAGATATGTATAAATTTTTTTAGAAATCGTACAGATTAATTAATGTAGTCGGACATTAATGTAATTATTTTTTTTTCTTTTCAATTTTATCTTTATTTAATTGTTTTATTCTTAAATAATATTCTTATGCTACATATATAGATATGAAATTGTAACATCTGTGAAAAAAATCAAAAATTACACATGATAAAGAATTTTTACGATGTTTTTACATATACGAATATGTAAATAATGTTGTTAATAATATTAATGTAAAATGATCTAATAATATGATAATTATTTTCTGTATGATAAAATGATTATTATAATGTATAATTTAACATGAATATTGTAAATTTAAAAATAGGTAAATTTAAAAATAATTCAAGATAGGTATAATCATTGTAATTACTTGAAAAATAGTGCAAATCTCTCGCTCACGGCAAATATCGCATATAAAATTATAATAGCTGCTTGAATTTATATTTTATTTTGAGAATATTATTTTTTATTATATATAACAATTCTGAATATTTTACGAGTATCGAATAAATCTTATCTGCTTTTTGTATGATTTTTTTTTGACATATAGCTGGCCTGACAGAGGTGATTATCTACAGTTCACCAGATGACAAAAAGAAGAATAGAGGTTTTTGCTTTTTGGAATACGAATCTCACAAAGCAGCTTCCTTAGCCAAGCGAAGATTAAGTACTGGACGTATTAAAGTTTGGGGATGTGATATTATTGTTGATTGGGCCGATCCTCAAGAGGAACCAGACGAACAAACCATGTCCAAAGTAAATGACTCATAATACAATCAAATATAATTATTTTTAGTATTGTGTTAGTCTTTGATTCTTGTGTTAAAAAAATGATAAAACTTTTTTATTTTAGGTGCGTGTACTTTACGTACGAAATTTGACGCAAGATTGTTCTGAAGAAAAACTGAAGGAAAGCTTTGAACAATATGGCAAAATTGAGCGAGTGAAAAAAATCAAGGATTATGCATTTATACATTTTGAAGATAGAGATAATGCTGTTAAGGTAAAAAATGTATCAAGTTATATTTTGTTTGATAATCTCTAATAAAAATTTATTTTAAATATATGTATGTATTTTCTTAAGGCAATGAACGAATTAAATGGTAAGGAAATGGGTGGATCCCACATAGAAGTTTCATTGGCAAAACCACCATCCGATAAAAAGAAGAAGGAAGAGATGTTGCGCGCCAGGGAAAGACGAATGATGCAAATGTTACAAGGCAGAGGCGGGTAAGTTATTGCTATTTTATTTTTAATTAATTCGTATTATTGGTATGTCATTATATTTCACTTTAAATTACTTTATTTCATTTATTCATAAATTAAAGGCGTTATATAGTTTTCCTTCTTACAGTGGATCTCCTTCTCATCCGAGCATGATGGGAGGTCCAATGCCAGTTCGTGGGCCCGCACAGGGACCTCGGGGTACTGGTGCAGGTATGCGTGGACAGATGGGACGAGGCGATTATGGTTAGTACCAATTTGAGTTTTTTTTTTATTTTTTTTTTTTACTCTTTTGCTGTATTGGTTCATGTATTTTTCGACAGCGCCTTAACAGAACAGCAACTTCGATTTTTGTGCTAATAAAAATTTCAATAATTCTTTATATCATATTGATATATATTAATATATACGCTTATATAATTTTATTGTTCTCAATTCTAATAATTTTCATTTAAATGTTAACTATTTCTCTTGGTATCACTATTGAATTATTATGTTGGCACCACATGATATTTAATATATCATGTACTAAAATTATAATTATTAAAGCTATATAATATCAAGATTGTAATTAATATTTTATATGTGAAGAAAGAATTAACAAATTAACAATAATTATAATTTCATCGAAACTATAGAAGTTTTGCTGTTAAAAATTGTAAAATATTACATACGAAATTAATACGTATGTTTATAATTCATTTGCTAAGTATATATAAATTTATGAGAAGATATACTTATATATACATATAATTTTTGGGTTATACATAATTTTTTTTATTTTTATAACTTTTTGTTTAATTTATTTCAGATTCAAAATATTTAATATATTAAGTAGTTATATATTTTGTATATACATATACACATATATGTGTGTGTATGTGTGTATGTATATATATATATATATATATATATGATATCATAAAAAGATCAGGACACTAGATTATTTCTGAAAAATGTTTTCAAAAAAATTTATTCATACAAAAATTATAAGATACCAAGTTATTCATCATATTAATTTGATCAATATTAGCTTGAGAATGTCATATTAAAATCACTTCAAATTTTGTAAATGGACATCCTTAATTTTTCTTATAAATCTTTGCAATATCGATTTTTTCAAAACAGTATAATTAGATTTCATTTGGCTAAAAACTATTCGAGATATTCGCACGGGCATTAAATGCATCATACAGAGATCGCATAGTCGGATTTGTAACATCATCACATGATGAGAAATTTGATATCCTACTTTCATATGAAAATTTTTCCGAAAAGCTATGTTTTCGAGATAATCCAATGGCCTGATCTTTTTGTGATATTCTATATATATGTATAGTGTTTGCCAGAAGTTCCAGGATACTTAACTAATTTCTGAATGATTTGATTATATATAATAGATAATAGATTATATATAATAGATAAGATTGAAATTTATAAGGATACGACCGTAAAATCCATTATTTAACCTCGAAAATCAGGAGATGAAGCCCGGAAAAAGGGCTCGAAAAATCTTAAATGACATTTGGTCGAGTGAGGGCTCGTTTGAAAACATTTTCGAGATAAAAACAATCGAATCAAAGGTTTTTATGATTTTTTTGCACAGTTATGATTATTGAGGGGTCCTGATTTCTGCCTGTGTCTTGCACGCGCGCACGCACACATACGCGTGTACGCACGCACACACTGCACACTTTCCGGCATGCACTTCCATCCACTCAGGAACGCGTGTCCGCGTGAAGTCTTATCTTTCTCATGTCCTCGCCGTGGGCCTCGCTACTGCAAAATCTCATGTGCCTTCCAATAAGCGACACAGTGCGACACAATGATCATGTCATCTTTGTTTAACATTGGTTATTGATTGCAAACAAGTATGTTATGATCCATTGTATCACATCGTATCATTTGTGTTGCTTGTATACCTCAATAATAATGTTTAAATGATTATAATTCTGCTAAAAAAAAAAATCTTAGAGACCTCATTCCGCGTTGTGCTCCTACTGGAAAGCACTTTCAAACGAATCCTCATTCGATTCCACATTTCATTTAAGATTTTCCAACCCCCCTCCCCCCCCTCTTCCCACATCTCTCAGGAGTGTTAGGCTAGATACTGTGGAAGCTTTTGAGCAGAAGCACAAGTCAACACAAGAGTAATTCTGTTTTTGTTTCTTACTGATTATCGAACAATGATAGGATGATTCTATCAATTTGTATTGCTGGAAAGCTCCCAGCCAATGTGAGCTTCCAACAGACAACAAGAATAGCGATAGGAATAGTACAGAAATAAAATAGAAATAAGAAAGCGATAAAATGAATGTTTTTGAGGTTAAGTAATAGATTTTATGGTCCCATTGTATCTTTATAAATTTCAATCTTGAACTATTCAAAAATTATTTAGATGTTCCGAGATTTTTGATAGACACTAAAAATATATATATATATATTTTTTTTTTTTTTTTTCGAAATAATTACATAACAAACATCTGCATGCTTTTGGGAATTTTTTACTATCTCATTACATATACCTTGGCTTACGCGCATGATAAGTTATTTTGAACGTGTGAATAAAAAATTACTTTCTAATTTCCATATTACATTACAGTTTTTTGATCGGAATCTTTTCTTGACCAAAATCATTTTTTATTCTTTTATTACAGTTTATATTATTTATTGCTATAAGTATATAAGACTGATAAGTATATAAGACTAATAAACTAATGTAAAAAAATCTAGGAATAATTATAGATTATTTGATATAGCTTTTTGATATATTTTTTGAAAATACTAATCTCTTTTCATGTGTATGTAAGTATTATATATACAGGGTGTCACAACTATTGAATTTCCTCTTAAGGATATATTCTTGAGATAATGTTGAGATGAAAATTCTAATATACGAAATGTCGAGGTTACAATAATTTTTTGAATTATAAGCTAACTTTAAATGCTTAATAAGTAAAAACCTATTTTACTTTTAGAGCCTCTATTATTATTTCTAGAACATTCTTGTGAACATTCTAAGACGAAAATTCTAATACGAAAATATTGAGACTATAATAATTTTCACACACACGCACGCACACACGCACGCACACTCACACACATACACACACACATACACACACACACACACTTTCTTTAATTATACATTATCTTTAACTAATTATAATTCAAAAACTATTGTAGCCTCGACATTTTTATATTAGGATTTTCGTCTCAAAATTACTTCAAGAATATGTCCTTAAGAGGAAATTCGGTAATTGTGAGAAATCTTATACACGCGCGCGCGCGCGCGCGTGCGCACACACACACACACAC